TTGCCGCCTCGGCCGCCTCCGTGCTCCCGCGCCCTACCCAGGCGTGTACCGCCGACGCCGAGTGCGGCTCTCTTGCATGCCTTCAGCCCCGGTTCGGTGCCTGCTTGTATGGTGCTTGTCGATGTGTCCTCTCCGAGAGCCTCAGCTACACCAAGACTCCAGCCACTCCGGTGCCTGGGATGTACACCAACACTGCGTTGCCTGTGAACTACACATCCCCGACAAACCTTATCACGTTGTCCACAGACTCCCCGACAAGCAGCATCTCTTCCAATGGTTCTACTTCAAGAACCTCCTGGACCGGTGATAACGATTGGTTATTCCCCACAGCCACTAAGAACGGTTCTTCTTCCACAGCCTCCGCGCTGTTCACCGTCACCCTCTCGGCCTGGGACCCCTCCCAGACCTCCATCATCGGCTGCAACACGACCCAGGACTGCTCTTCCCTCTCCTGTGGTAGTAACCAGACATACGCTTGTATCACTCAGGGCGCGAATCCCAAGCCAACCTGCCGCTGCGTCAACCGCCCCAAGCTCTTCGAGCCCTGCACCGCGCCAGCAGACTGCGAACACCTGAAGTGCGACGCAAACCACTTCTCCGCCTGCCGCCCGCTCATTGACTTCCCCGGAGCAGACTCCATCTGTCTATGCGATGCCCTCGCCCTCAAGCCGGGCGCTTTCTGCACCGTCGACTCCCACTGCGACGGCCTCCCCTGCGACGGCACCAAGAACCGCCGCGGCAAGTGCATCAAGCCTACCTCAGACGACACCGGTGGCGTCGGCCTCTCGGGCGGCTGCCAGTGCGACTACTACCAATCCGAAGGCGTCGGCTGCGCCTCGCACGACGACTGCTCCACGATCCGCTGCTCCGAAGACAAGCCCTACAAGTCATGCGCCATCCCCGACGGCCCTCTCGACAAGGAAGCCAACTTCTGTGCCTGTGCCGCCGAGAAGCCTCCCCGCCGTCTCGCTGAGGGCGACAAGTGTACCGCGCACAAGGAGTGCGCCACGATCGGGTGCACAGAGTACGAGGTCTCGGTCTGCGAGAAGGACACGTGCCGCTGCCGCTCCTTCATGTGCAGTGGCAGCCGTGACTGCGACTCGAGCGCGCTCGACTGCGCTGGCAAGGGGAACCTGCTGTGCGGTGAGAAGGGTATGTGCGAGTGTAAGCCCTGCACTGAGAACTGGAAGGGCTTGACTTGTTTGGTGGATGCGGATTGCAACCACTGCTGCAAGCGCGGGACCTTGCCCAAGTGCAAGTTTACTCGTCTCGAGTTCTGGTCTGGTAATGAGTGTCAGTGTGATCTTTGGAATTAGATGGGGATCGTTTCTTGGAGGAGAGGAGGATGGCCTTTCTTTTTTCCGGTTTACGACCTATCTGAATACTGGGGAGTGCACCACACTGGAGGAAAATGAAGTCTTGGAATGATACCGAGATACCGCCCTTAAGGCAAAGATTGAGATAACGAATGAATGAGAAATTCCTCATCAACATGATGCTGTGTGTTGGTCGGTATGGGTGGTGAACACTTGTAATATGTCAAGAACTCCCCTCGTAGGCTGGTACCGAGTCTTTCTTCGACTAAGTGATTGACCTTGAACAAAATTAATCGCAATCCAATGACCTTGAAAAAGGTGTCTTCAAAGCTAAGGGTTTGGACTCGAGGGAGTGAGAGCCACTCAGCAACCTGACTACATGGCATCATCAAGATGGCTCTCATTATGACCTCGAACCTTTCATCTGTGGATCGTCCAAGCTTGAGTTAACTCTCCAGTAGATGTGATGTATGGTCAAGTCATATTCTTGAAGCAAGGCCTTGCAATAGCAATGGATCAATAGGCTCAGCAATGGGTACTGCGAAACCGCAAGTCGACAATGCGGATTGTGTAGCTCTTTGGAATTGCATGAAGCTTTCAGAAATCTGACGTAGCTGTAAATTGCACTGATTTCTCTCCGGTTCTGTCAAGATGATGTTGGTATCGCCTTATACTTAGTACAAGAAAAAGAAACATTGCATTTGAAAGCAATATCTTGAGATTCAAATTATTCCCAATGCCTTGAATTAGGCCATCACTTTTACAACCTGTTAAAATCGTCTTCATTTTAGAACTCAACTCTATCCGTTCAAAACTCATTTCAATCGAACTAGGAACAAGAGATTGACACGCCCAGACTAAAATGCTTCTGTAATAATGCAAGTTCATAATCCGTGATGGTTCAATGTCTCTATTACTATGAAAAGTCGTGAGCCGGATTCGCCCCTTTGTGAGGGCAAGTTCCCTCATCTGCAATTCCCAAACGCCTTTCTCAGTGTTGTCATGACCCATGATTCATTCACAATAATCTCATCGCTAGCAATGTCTTGAATAAGGAAACATCCGCCTCCACTGTCGACGGTTCTCAGGGCTTCACGCCAGAGCTCGCCGCACTCTCACCAACCTGCACCTCCTCATCAGGCACACCAACAGCAACACTGCTCGCGATGCTCATAGCCGTCAAAGACCGCTCCCTCTCACCTCCAGGACGTCTGTTGGAGCCGGCTATACCAGCACCTCCAGTAGTGACGCCAACGCTGGTGGCATCCGCCGCAGCCGCAACTGAAGCGTTTGCGCTGCTCGTACTCTCGCTCCGCTCCCTTCCAGCGGCGGCGGTCTTCTCCCTGACCATCTTCTCCAGATCTCGAATCCTCTGCTTCAGCACCTCGTTCTCCTGCTTGGCCTTCTCTAGTTCCTGTCGGTGCAATGCTGTCTCCTCGTACCGCGACGTCGTGGTCATTAGGCCGGGCGAAAGCTGCGCCTCGCTGCCGCCGGGCGTGGCGGCGACCGAGGTGTTACCGGTATGCTGCTGCGGCAGACGCTGCTGCTGGAAGTATGTCAGGCCACTGGTGCTGGTCGGGTCCAGATAGTGTTGCGACGGTGCCGGCGAGGACGATAAGCTGTGACGGGAGGCCACGCTATCTTGGCGACCCGGTTGTGGGGGCCGGGCGATGGGGATGGACATGGTGGATGCGGCGGCTGAACCCGCTACGGCGGTTTGGCTTCGGGTGCTGGCGTTGGACGCGGTGCGGTGGTGTCGGCGGGAGCTGTTGGACGGGACGGCGGGGGTGGAGAAAGCGGCGCCGGAGAGGAGATGGGTGTCGGGTGCTTCGGTCGTGTTCGAGGCTGATGTCGAAGAGGCGTTGGATGCCACGGAGGCGTTCTGCGCTGTTCGAAGAAGTTGGAGCTCTCGTGTAAGGCGGTTCACCTATCACTCGTGGTTAGCCTTTGGTATTCCTGGAGCGTGTAAGTCTGCCTGGCGCACCACTGCCTCTTGCTCTTTTTCCAACTGCATGTGAAGATCGGACGCGGTGATGGGTCGCGGGTGACGGATGGGGCCTGGGCCGGAGACAGAGGGCTCAGGGAAGGCTGGCGGCGATGCTGCTACTGCTGGAGCCATCGGTGGAGATCCTACGGGAGGGTTGGAGGGCGGATGGTTGACTGTGTTCTGGTTTGACGGAAGGATGTTGAGGGCCGAGGAGTCGGAAGATTGCACTGGAAGTGGAGGAGGCGGCATCTGATAAGAAGAAGAGCGCCGCGAGGCGCTATGAGGATGTGGCGAGGCCGGAACAGAGTTGAGGTCGGGCATCGTGACTGAAGGTGATGAGGTTGGTGATGTTGGTGATGGGTGTTGCTGTAATTCGACCGCTGATGCGAAGCTGATGCGAGAATGAAGCTTCTGTCTGGGTCAGGAGTTGCGTGATAATAGCTGCGATATAGCTCAAACGCGTGATTGTTTGTTGCTTTGTTTGGTGGTCGCGGTCAACACGTCCTAGGTCGTCCAATCTCGCAACAGACTGTTTATTTGTCTGGGTTGCTTGGTTTTGGAGCTCCGCCATGCTTCATGCTCCCATTCATGCGTCGTTGCCCCACACACGGCCCCGCGATAAGGTGAGGTCCAGCCACAACCCCGCTTCTGCCACAATGGTGAAAGCCACCAAGTCCAGCCACAGTGTCTAGCTATCTTATCAATTCGTACCTACCTTATGTAATCTTACTTACTGAGGAACATTAGTTTATCCTCCGCCGTGGACGCGGGTCCCATCGGCCGCCGATGTCCCGTCCCAGTGACGCACGTTCCGCCCGTCTCTCCCTCTCCCTGTCACACTCAACTCTCACAACCGCCCCCGATCTACCACCATTGCGATCCGACGTTGTATTTCCGTGCGTGGTGCAAACTCTATGCGGCCCGGGTGTTACAGTTGAAATCCCATCTACCGCGAATAGCCTTACCGACGACAACATGCGTTTCCGGAATGCACATGTTCGACTTCTGTGCGAATACAACCTCGCCGCCAACATCACATCAGCTCGAGACGGCCAGCGACACATGCCTTCGACGACAACGATCAAGATGGAGGGCAAAACATAGCATGGCAACCCTCAACGCCGCCTAGTTCGAATTTGAGAGTTCTGGTTACAAGCTCTACTACGACCAGCAATAGCACCACCACAGCACCACCACACCAGAAGACAAACGTTCAAGCGCCACACTCAGCCATCTTTCTGCCTGCCGGTCTGAACTCTCTGGTGGAGAAGTCTTCTGTTATCCTGGATCCGACTGCAATAACGGCATTACCCTTACACTTATTGTGGACGAAACACGGAGACAGGGTTGATAACGGAGTGTTTTCCACCGTTTTCTCGCAGATCACCCGCCGTTTTGCCAAATGTGGCTGCCTTCCTAGCGTCGGCGCCACACTCTTCCCCGCAGCTGCCCCGCTCCTGACGTTGTATGGGCCAAGCGCCCCTTGCGACTCCGTTCTCACCCCCTGACGACGGCACAGACGGCAGGATGGTTGGACGACCATGTAAAGAGGTGCTATTCACCTTCGGCGCTTTTCCTCCGGACGTCTCGGGTATGCCACGCGTCCCCTGTCAACAGAGCTTCCCCCTCCCAAGCGCAATCTCTCCCCCGTCACTCATTGTCCAGTTCGAGCGGGCAGTTTGGTCATAGCTCCAGCGATGATCTCACCTCTGGGCAGCTTCTTTCGCTTCAGTCGGAAAGGAGGTCGGTTAACGACAGCGTTTGTGCAACGGCGGACACACAACGCTAATCAAAGTCGCTCAACGCTTGCGACTTTGACCGGTCACACAATCCCATTATTCTGGCACGGTTTTCTTACCAGACGTCGTCCGAACAGACTCTACCAACCGTTCTTGCCTTTTGGAACTGCACCCACCCGACGACCACTCTTCCCGCCAAGCTTGGCTTCCCGCCATAACGTGCCCAAATATGATCGATCCCGCGGATACGACGCGGCGGCGGCGAAAAGCGGTACGGGACACGACTCAAAAATATGGAGCAGAATCTCTGCCATCGGTCTAGATCATTGCGGGTCATCCGTTGAGTACATGAGTACCGTCCTTCTGGCCCAGCCGCGGTGCCTCTTCCGTTCCCCTGGGGAGCCTGGGAGGGGGTGGCCTGCGATCGCCCGCTGTCAACATCGTGAGGAACTCGCAAAAAACAGGTTTTATCCCCTGCACCTGCTTCTGCCCGGTGGACACCTGATGAGGCTGAAATGTTTCATCATTGGACCTCGACCGCATTGGCACTTCACTCTTACTGCATTGTGATGCTGCACTCGGCCAACCTCGCGGATCGGGTAACGTGAATGGGCTTTGGGCAGGCGCGGTTTGCCATCCTCGTGATGTCGATGATGCGGGAGCGCACGCATCGGGTACGAGCACCGCATATTGACCGGGACCACACCAGCCACACCTTGAAGATATTCACCGGTAACTGACCCTCTCACCACGGCCGACGGGTGCGAATCCTCGCATATTCGTCCACGGGCATGATACGAGACTCGCCAGAATGCAGGTCGCCGTATTGGCCCACGGCCCCTGCTAGTCAAGACAATCTTCACCGTTCACGATACTCAGAGTAATAGCACACTTCACTGTTTGAAACTTGACGGAGTCGTGAACCAGAACCTAACGGACGGTACAAACTCTCAGGTCATCCGCTGGATTCCGCAATGGAAGTTCCAGCAATCTACACTTTCGGAAAGTTGGACTAGCTCATCGAATGTGGAGAATAGAAGACGACGAACACCCGTCAAAGTGGGTTCATAAAAATCTCATTTCGGCGGCTAAAATTACACTGGGGACCAGATCGTATCCGCCGCTAAGTCTGACAAGCTCGATTCGCTGTGGGACGTATTGGCACACCGACAAACTTCCCCATCCGAGCATAACACCGTCTTCTAAACGGAGACTAGCAAGCAAACACGCACGAAGCGGTCTCGCGTTCTGTAAGAATGAACAAAGAAAACTCGTTAACAAAAAATCCTATACCCGCTTACGCCTCTCCCTCTCTGCAGAAAGCTTTTCGCCTTTATGCCGTTAAGATTTGTGGTATGTTGAAACATTTCGATCGTAATGACTGATTTCGATGCTGGACACTCCCGCTTCCGCTGTCGAAGAGCAGGGGGAGTGCTTGTCGTGGTAGACGCGATTACCCATCTCTACATCATGTCGCTATGCAGTTAGCCTTGTGGACAAGGAATTCGAATCTTTTTCGAACGCAAAGATGACGTAAAGAGAATGCCCAGAGCGTTGAGCGGCCCTTGTTGATTTCGGGTCTGTGGTGGTTGTCGACATGCTTTTTTACATTGATCTAGGGAGAAACCGTCGCGGTCAGTCTCTCCTAAACCGCTTTCGCTCGGGTCTGATGGCCGAGGGGTACACGGATGCCGCATCGGAAAAACGGTCGACGGACTGCGCACGAACTTTCGTGCTGCTGCCTCGCCTGCCGAGATGCACCACCGACCTCGGCCCAGAAGAATTGTGGAGGTGTTTGTGTGTAGGATAGGGAACAACCGTTTCCTATCCTCTCCCACAGTTTGCCAGCTCTCGTCAAAAAGACAAAAGAAAAACAACGGAGACTGGACTTGAGAAGTATTCTGGCTGACTCGCCGCTGCGAACACTGCCCCCCAGCGAGGCCCGATAATCGGTCCCCACACGGAAAACGGTGATGGCATTACATGACAGAGTTCGACAGCAGGTAGAAGCGCAGTGGGCACCAAATGCAGAAAATCTGAATCGCGGACACCACTGCTGATTTGGGGTAACAAAGCATTGACCAACAAGAAGAGAGGGAAAAAGATCCGGAGAAAAGACATAATCAACCGTGAACAGAGAGGAAAAGAGGGAATACTCACAGCAATGCCAGCGTCAAATCACCGTGGATCTTGGCTTTGAGCGTAATCTCAATATCCAAGTTCAGGTCAAGCCTCAGCTTGAGCGGGTTCTTGCCCGCGCCGCCGCCGCCGCCCTGCATCTGCTGCTGCTGCTGTTGCTGCATCATCATCTGCTGTTGTTGCTGCTGCTGCATCTGCTGCTGGCGCTGGCGCTGCATCATCTGCTGATTCTGATTGCCGCCCTTTTGCGCGGTCGTGTAGTTGCCGCCATCGTCCTCTTCCTCCTCTTGGGAGTCGTAGTCCTCGTCATCGTCGTACTCGCCTTCGTCTTGCGAGTCGCCAGAGTAGTACTCGTCGTCGTCGTAGACCTCGCCATCCTCGCCTTCTTCAAACTCCTCGTCGTCGTCGTAGTACTCGCCCTCACCTTCCTCGCCCTCGGCGTACTCTTCCTCGCCGTCTTGGAGTTCAGTGGGCTCCTCGAGGTCAGCTTCTCGTTCTGTGCGGCCAGAGTCGCGGGAGCGTACCTTTGCGGGCTCTGCTTGCTCCTGCTCCTTGCCTCCTGCGGCGGGCTTCTTGTCGTTGTCGACAACGGACTCTGGCTCCGCTTCGTCTTCGACGCCGGCCTGGTTTGATGAGGCCTGCTTCTTGTCCGTGGTCTCTTGGCCAACGGGCTTTTGCTCTTCCGTCTCGGGCTTCTTGTCTTTTGACTGGGTGTCGGCGCCGGCGGCAGCATCTTCGGGCTTCACGTCGTCGCCGGGCTTCTTCTCATCTTCTTGTTGTGTCTTGTCGTCCGTCTTGGCAGCCGCGTCTTCCGGCTTGCTATCTTCGGCCTTCTTCTCATCGGTGGTGGGGGCACCCTCGCCTTCTGCGGGGTTACCGAACTCCCCGACCGGTGTGGTACCTTCGGGCTTCTGCTCTTCCGTCTTTTGGTCTAGGGAAGACTGCTGCTGCTCCTCAGGCTTCGTCTCCTCGGGCTTGCTGCTATTGCCCGGCTGGTTCTGGTTGCCGGCGACGCCTTGGCCTTGGCCCTTCTAGAGAAACTCGCCATTAACACCGTGACTTATATCTACAGTGAACGTGTTGTGGTGAGTGAAACTTACCTTGTTCTTGTTTCTGGCCATTGTGTCCGAGTCCATTAATCTGACGGGGGTGGTTTATTGATATGTGGAAATGAGAACCTCTCAATTGCCCTTTCAGTGAGATTTCTCGAGTGAAGCTATTCAAATGGGGTATGAGTTGAGTTTGGTGGTCGCGGTGTAGTAGGCGTTTAGCTCAATGTGTTTAGATATCTCCCCCCTTCCAATAAAGTGAAAAGAGATCAGAGTGAGTTTGTTCAATGAATATGGGAATCTTTTTCAAAATTGGAAAGAAAAAAAGGTCATCTAAGAGGATTGGGGGAAAGCTAGGTACACAGGTTGGTATAAGTGAAATCGGATGCCATGAGAATTAACAGCATCATTACCTCACACCCCTCCCCCCTCAATGCCATCAAACAGGAATTCCTGCACAGGGACACAGGGACACTGGACAGCGAGGCTGAACCGCAATCCGGATCTTCGTCTCTTGTGACGCAATAGGGTGTGAATATGGGAACCACGGGCTTACACACCTACGCACTACCTACTCCATACACGGGGATGGGGGGGAAAGGAGGACCCGGTGAACAGGCAGCGTTGGCACAAAAGAAGGGGACCCAGCAAAAAGTTGGTCAAAGAAAAAAAAGTGGCATGGGCGGGTGGGAGTGAGACTCGAGAGAGGCAACGGGTTACAATCGAATGAGGTCTGGACCTTTCGTGAGACCCAGAATGCCCTCTGACTTCCGAGGGGAGAATGTCACTGTTGGCAGATAATACTGGGGAAACGGTACAAGGGGAGGGACGTGTACCTCCTGACAAACACGTGTATAGACTTGGACCCGCCGCTGTGATATCACATTCGATACAGGTTTTGGATGAGAATCAAGATTTTTGTTCTTCTGCTTAGGGGGAGTAGCGGCTGTCCGAACTCCCTCACCTGTGGTGAAGCTCACCGTATGCTGGCACCTGGTACGGGAAGAGCAGCGAGCAGGCAGGTAGGCGACTTAAACTGCAGCCAGCCCGTCCTTCCCGATCGACAGGGTCCCTAGACACAAGAAGAGAGGGGGCGTGTAAGAGGTCCTTTGGCATAAGGCGATAAAGCAGTCTAGCAATAACGGTAGACAAGCACCAACTATGCGAGAGGACCAACAAAACAGAATGAGGATTGAGAGAGTGACGTCGACGGGCTGGGACCCGAAATGCGTGCTTGAGCCGTGGTTGGTCGAAACTCAGCACTCTGCTGCGTTGCGAGCAAAGAGCTTCGGGAGCTACCCCGGTCGATCATGTTTGGAAAAGTCTATGAACCTAGCGTGAGTGAAGGATGGGGAGGGATCTGAAGTCAAAGCAGACTAAGCCCGAGTGTAATCCTCTCGAAAGAATGACGTCGATGGGGTGTGAATGTATTGCACTATAAAGAGGATTCGTAAAATGTATCAAAGTATCGAACCGCAAAAAAAGAAATGGAGTATGCAGAGAACAGCGAACGGTCTAGACATGCATATTGTGGACCACACCAAACGTGAGCATTGGGTGTGGGCTGACCCCAGACAGGGGTACCCGAAACGGGCATCTCGATCCAGAATGACTTCCACTTCTCTTCTCGTCCAGGCGCCGGGTGCATGTGGCCCGCAGACTTTTGTGAAGAAGAGTGAGAGAGAGCCTGAGAGAGGAGAAGGAGAGGGATATTCGATGCCTGACCGTACCGTGCCGTGACCGCTAGACCAGCCAGCCCAGACCTGCCACGCCTGCCAGCCACTCCTCGCCGCGGGGAGGAGAAGAGACGCGAGGCACAGGGCGTGCATGAGCCTTTCGATATGATGACCACACGAACCCCATAGAACATACCCCGTAAACCTGTTTCTTCTGAGAATCCATCAAAGAAGGTCCCTCGGAAGCCCTCTGAGACAGTGACATTCCGGTATCGATCTTCAGGACTCCAGCAGCAAAGAGAGTAACTCGGCCCCGAACCACGTCCCAACGATCATTGCAAATCCGTTGATCCATACACACGCTCGCACCGGTTTGACCCCACGGCTTGGGCCAACTTGACGTTTCCGAGTCCCGACGCGACACGAAGCAGACCTCGAGTTGTGAACAGGCAACGGCGAGGCTCCAAAGAACTTTGACTCCCTCGACTTCAACTCACTTGAGCTCGTCCCTGTGCCCACTCTCACTCGAAAAGGCCAACGTCTCCCACCGCCCACAGTCACTCGCCCGGATTTTCGTCCCTTGATTCCCACTTTACCCTTCCTGTATTATTAGTCGCCTGCCTCGGAAAACAAGTTCGAAACATGGTTATCGGTCTGCTCGCCATCGCCGCCATACCCACAGTCATCGGCACTGGTCAGGCCGTAA